AAGTCCGTAAGTTTGAGTAAAAATAAAAATTTTATACTGTTTGACCAAACACGGACTTTTCTACTTAAAAATCAATAGGTCTGGACGATAACTAAAAAAAAAAGATCTTTTGACCTCATACTGGCTTTTATACTTAAAAATCATTTGCTGCCTTACCATGAGAAATGTATATAGTCTGCGATTAGAACCGTACCTACATTGTCTGACCAAACTCGAACTTTTCTACTATCAAAATCGATGTGTCGGTATTACAACTAAAAAAAGCTCTTTTGATCTAATACTGGCTTTTATACTTAATCATAATTTCCTGCGGTACAATAAGAAATTTATATTGTATGCGATTAAAACCGTACCTTCATTGCCTGACCAAACTCGGGCTTTTTACCTAAAAACTTGCGTACGTCTGCATTATATACTTTTACGCTGCTTTTGTTCAGTTAAAACTAACGATATGAACAATAAAACGGTATCCTCGCCAAGGCATGCTCCACCGCAAGCAGATTTTTTTGAACGCAATCAAACGGGAACGGCCCGCCAAGTTCAATCCCCACTTGTATCCCAACCGATACATAAAAGAGATTCCTCGCCCTCTTCAGTTCTCATATAAAGCTATCCTCAAGCGGAAGCCTTGCAGTTCCCCTCCAACTTTACAGCTCGCTGTAAAGCGCGCATGTGCTCCTTTACGAGCGCTTTCTTGACGTCGGAAGGGCTCGTGGTTTCTAAACGACGGGGCACACACACGAGTTGGCGTACAATCGAGAATTAGCGATTCTTACGCCCCGACCGGATACTGCACAGGTGACGAACAATCGAATTACAAATTCTCGATGGATAATTCCAAGAGCAATCAAATTTTCGACTCCGAGCCCCCTAATGTCGCGATAAACGCCACATTGACGGTAAATTGACTTGCGTTGTGCACACAGAAGGGGGGAAGCTTTAATGGTTCTTTGATTCAGCGAGCTTAGCCCGAAAGCTCAGCGCCAAACAAATTTCGCAAGAAGTAGCAACAGCTGGCTCGTCGAAATCAAAAGGAAAGAGAGAGAGAGACCAAAGCGTGTACACAAATCCCTCGCCTCGTGTCGTCTCGGATCACGTGGCTATATGTAGTGCACATTACCCACACGTACAGTCTTTCTCTCTACCCTGGCCTTTGAAAGGTTAATTCAGCTTTTCAAAAGTTCCCTATACTCCGATCCGTCGTGTATGCCTCCGAGGACGCAATTAAAGCTCTGGACTCGTGTACCTGCATCATCCACCCATGCGATTCTGTGTGTGGACGGCATATGCGAATATTGGCACTCTTTTCCACTTTCTCCGTGGAATATCCGATAATAATAAGTGGCCTGCCACTCAAAGTCACCGACGCTCCGTCGTACCCGTGGCTGCCTTTTTCACCACCGCCCTGTCACTCTATCTCTCTCATGCTCCCCCACCCCCCCCCCGTTTTTTTTATCCGCGTCCACCACGCACGGCTCTTGTCATCGCTGGTCGACGCACGAACGGGGTATATCAATATTCCTTTGTTAATTGTATTTCCGATAAATATGTAAATGACGCTCCCGAATTTTAATCACAGTAGCTGTCGTTTCCTTTTATATGCGGTACAACGGAAAAACGGGAGATACGCCCAAGTGGAAAAGTCGATTGTAAACCTTGGCACGACGTACCACCGGCGTGTTTTTTTTTTGGGCTGGATTATAATAAACGAAAGCAAAGCTTGATTGAATTTTAATGAAATTACGTGTACACGCATGCCTATACGAACGAAATTGCGAATCCATATGCCAACGGAATTGTAGAGCTCTTCGTACGTTCTTCACGAAATATGTGAATTCGATGAGACGCGCGCGGCTGAAAAATACAATGGGAGCGGCATCAACGCGTACGAGATTTCTCGATTGCTTGGTAAAGTGCAGGGGGAGTTATGTGCACTTCCAAACGCACGGCTGAATAGGATTTTAATCCCGAGACTTTCGTTTCCGCGTTGCTGCGCGTTCGAGAGAGGGATTGCTCTTTTTTCATTCGTTTCCAAGACGTTTGTAAAGCAATATTGATCTCGTTTCAATCAAATGGTTTGTGTCTTATTCGTTTTTTTATGACTTTGGACAACTTTTTGACCTAGAAAACAGGATTTTGTTTTTTTAACACATTGGTTTGAAAATATCGCTTATTCAAACCTCTGCAGAGTTGGGCCTACTTTTTCACATGTTCCATTACTGTCCTTTTTTATCTTTATTTCGTATTTTTACACGATTTTATAGACAAGAGATAACCAGTAATGGCCTATCAATGAAAATAAACCTTGACGATTTGGCTATTCCGTTCTTACACAATCACAATCTACATTCATACATTTATGTATACGTTTCTATTTGCGAAACCCTGACGTCGACCCGTGAAATCTCAACATTACTTGCTACTATTATCAACAAATAATACAATTTGTCCTGTACAAGTAACGGACGATAAAAAAAAAAAAAAAAAGTAATAAAAGAATGGAAAAAGTTTTAAAACCGCAAACACAGCACATGTATGTACAATATGTGGATGTAGGTACTCGTTCACTCACTCACTCACGAGTACAGGAACGATGGAAAAGCTCGAGGGAAGCAAAAGAGAAGTAATCAGTGGAACAAACGACGCTACATCAGACGAGGTATAGATAAGGGAAGAAAAAAAAGAAAGAGAGAGAAAAGTCCCCGAGTGAAAAAGGCTCGAGGTGGGAGGTGCCTGCACACCAATGTATGTATATACACAAGAATCGGTGGCAACAAATCAGCGTGAATCGTTAAACGTATAGATAGGGCTTCTCCCCTCACTCCATCCCTGCACTCTGATTGTGCAAAAAGTACGATCACCGGAACAATCGAACCTGCCCCGCTCTCGCGTGTGTACATGTGCTGGACGAGTGTATCTACAGTGCAATGGTGCAAACAGGGCACCCAAATCCCATTTTCCAATGTTTTTTCGTTTTTTTTTTCTTTTTTTATTTGCCAGTCGAATTAGAGCATAGAAACGTATGTAATGGCCGAAGCTCTGCTTGTACGCGACACGCTGAATTAAGAGGACAACGACGACGGTAGTGGTAGCATTATCCCGTGCTCCACAGAGCAAACGCACACCCTTCCTTTATGCGAGCTACCCATTCATTTCGAGCTATCACTTGCAAATTCGAGCACCTTTTTTTAATTTACAACAATCGCATCTATAGTTTGCTGTTCGATGATGGCAAAAGATATATACCTTCGCGATAGAGCGAGCACACCCACGTATATATGTTACACCCGTGATATCGACAGCGCCGATGTATATAGCTACGCGTGTGTGTACATTAATACTTTCCAGTCGATTAGCATCAGTCAACTACTCGCCCGCTCCTCTTCCGCCAATCGCTTTATCTGGACATGGACTGACGGACGCGTTATCCTCTTTCCCTGCACCGTCAATACGTTTGCCTCGTGTATGGCGCGTAATCTGTGAAATCCGGCTTTCCTTTCGCATCTGCGTGACGCATGATTGTAATAAATTTTTTACTACCATGTACATCCATGACACGTGTGTTTATGTTATACGATGTGCCTTTTTCGGGAATGAATTTAACCTGCAACTGTTACGGTATTCTATAAAAAATGAAGAGATGCTGCTGTCAGGTCGATTTGCGGGGAAACGGGTGATGGAAAAGGAGCTCGGTAGAGGGATGCTTTTACGAGCTCCGCATAGGTACGTGTTTTCGGGAGTGCCGTCACTTATGCAACTTTACTTTGCTGCTTAAGGTTACCAACAGCTTTTTTTTTCGGAAAGTGAAAAATCGGTGATTTTTAACGTGCTGGCACTTGTTAGATTGTAGATTTATAATAGTGGAGTAGCGATCCGACTCCTGCAGAGAAAGCTTGGAGTGAAGCTAAATTATACGTACTGAGATTCGGAAAGTTCGGAATTTTTGTAAATCCATCGTTGCCAGGAGTTCTGTTTCTGAAGAATAGGGTTTTCAAAGAATTCGAGTGAACCGATCGATTTTCACGAGAAGGACTTGCAAAGTTGAGTAGAGATTTTTTTATTTTTTCTTTCAATAGATCGTACATATAAGTCTTTGTAAAACGAGCCTTTGGTAAAAAGTAGACATGTATGTCTTTTTAAATGCCAAGCTTGGTCAGATACTAGATGTTTTTATAATGGTAACATAAACGTTTTTTAACACAAACGGCAGTTTAAAGTAGAAAACCCCGAGTTTGATCAGACGGTGTGAATTTCCAACAACTTATGGAGTTTTAAGTAGAAAAGTCAGGGTTTGGTCAGGCAATATTATTTCTAATTGTGAATTTAGCCCTACAGAATTTTTAGTAGAAAATACCAAGCTTAGTCAGACGGAAAATGCCACACAAATTTCCAAGTAGAACAGTCCGAGTTTAGTCAGACGGTACACATTTCTTGTAGAAACGCAGCAAATGAATTTTTAAGTGGATAAACTCAAGTTTAGTCAGCCTGTGGATATACCCTTCTAATCATAACAGGTGCATGGAGTTGAACGGAAGCCCAAGTTTGATCAGAAAATATACGTTAAACTAGAATTGTAAGAAATAACTCATGTCGACGTTATAATAAATTTGATGCATACGTGTGTTAGTTTGATAAAAAGTTTCAACACTCGAACTTTATTGTAAATATTTTGACACTTCCTGTATCCTTTTCTCATTATAAATCAAGTAGTCAATACCTCCTCACAATGCATTTTTACAATAAATCGTACAAATTTATCTTACTGCCTGAAAAATTGACAAATGGCTAATTGTACCGTAAGCATTAAAATCGTGTACGAAAAAAAAAAAAAATCACCATTTACCAAAGCAGAATACTAAAGAGTAGCGCGCATGAATTTCTGCATTACAGAGTCTTTGGAGAAGCATCGTCGAAACAGGCCTGAAGAATCGAGGCACGTCGCGGAGGCGTAAGGCGCACGAAGGCGAGAGAGAAATGAGGCGGACGTGACGTCACAATGACATGATGAAGAGCCTGGTGGGGATCATGTGGATTGTGTTGGTGCTCATATCAGGTAAACAAACAACCAGAGTTTCAAAATTTTCATCCCTGAGATGCACGTTAAAACCAAGAACGGATAGCATCATCTGTAGGATTCGAATGTCGCAAGCTCCGATCGATCATCCAACCGGAAATTCAACAAAAGTCATCCGGACAAACTTATGCGCAACTCCCGCGTATATAGAGCACCGGCGATATAGCTCGAGAAAAAATAAAAATAAAAGCAAAGAAGAGCGATGAGAAAAGTTAAAAGAGCTCGCGTTTGGCTTCCCAAACGATGTATCGAACGGAGAGAGCGGCAAGGAGGCGGAGTATTCCCTGATGAAGTTTTCGGTAATAACAAGCGGAAGCCTTCGTCCCACGCGATCTCCCTCACCATTTGCGAGAATCAGCCGGTCGAAAGAGTCGTACACGTGAGCGTGGGACTCACTGCGATACAGCCGCGAACCACCCCGGTCACGTATCCGATTCGGCTTTATGGGCTCCGATGATCACGCAGGCTTTATTCCACGTGTTACTGCGGCCTCGTGCCTTTCCTTGCTTCGCGAAAATCGCAACGTCAATTTTTGTCTTGAGCTTAGTCATGGTACAAAAATTACACATTTTTCCACCCACACCGGGATCGCTACACAGTTAAACAATTTGAGCCATCACGAGTCTGATAATGCTCAACGAGGAAAAAACCTACAGCTTCGCGTCAAAATCCGCTACGTAAAAAACTCGTCCCCTTCTCCAGCACGCGGCACTCATATTTCCTCGACGACGATTTTAAGAGCACTTTGCCCACCGCGGACGATTGGCTTTCATATTTCACGCGACATTTCCACGCGGGATCTCACCCGCACAGAGAGAAAAGTACGCGCACTCTCAGGGGCATTTTGTCCTTAAGAAGTTCGATCAGCGGGGGGGGGGTAATGGTTACTTTTTTTACCGATCGATACAGAGGGAGACTAGCAAGTTGCGGGGAAAGAGAGAAGAGCTCCCACCCGAGGGAGATGCCAAAGATTCCCCGACGATCCTCGAGTATTGCGAACGACAGCGCGAGTCCTCGCAAAATACGTACTATTCAAACTCTCGCGTCGCGTCGTCCATACACCTACATGCACAATGTGGAAACCGAGGCAACGACTATACGTATACGCTGTCCATTTCCCGGCCAATTCAAAGGGGGGGGGGGAGTGCAAGTTACTCCCCATGGGTGTACCACCCATTACCATGCAGATCCAGCGGGGCGAACAATTAAAATTAAGCATTCGGCAGTAAAGTGCCGGGCCTAGAAGCCATGGTGGCGGTGTTATGCAGCGGCACTGTACGGTGATGGGTGGCGTAAACATCATTAGTCGACGCACGCAGCGGTGCGAGAGGGACTCGAGTGCATCAGCTGCTTTTGACGCGCGTGTACACGTATGAATGCTCTAATCCGCGCGTCTCGAGGAGCTGTACTTACCTGGTGTACTGAAATATGCGCGCGTGTGCCGAGGCGGGCCAAAGCTCTCTCTCTCTCTCTCTCTCTCTCGGAAATTAACTGACGCTACACGGTACGCGCGCATTGTCTTCTTGAAGGAAACGCGTGGCGGCAACAGCCTGCTCAGAGTTATACTTTTGCGTTAATTGAGAATAGCTCATTCGAAGAGATCGGTCGCGCCTGTGTCAATGACGTGCCTCGAGATTGGGGTCAAAGTGGGCAGGACCATGCAAAATATGATGTCGGGTGATTAAACGATTAATAAACCTTTTTTTTTTTTTTTTACCGCCAAGGTATGTTAAATAAAATGTGTATGGATGAAAAAAGAGGAGCGAGAGTAAAGTAATTACGCGTGAGACCGTAAAACTAGGGGAATGGGGAATGGAAGTAAGAAGATGGCTCGGATGCAAATGGGAAAGAACGGGCGCCGTATACATGACTAGATCTATGAAAAAAGTTTAATGTTGGAAACAAAGGGTCCTTGTGTGAATCGGGGTATTTATATAAGTATACACTCGGTGTAAGTAAATAATGATCAACTACGCAGGACAAGGTTGCTACGAAGCTTGATGCGCCCTTTAGAGGCGGCGTATTTTGGATTTTCGTTATCTCCGTTCCGTGATTTTTCGTAGATTTTGGCGTTGCGCAGTGATATGCAATATAAGCCAAGGAAAAAAAGCCAAGGGAATTACAGAGGAGACAGAGCAACGCGCGAGGAGGACGAGGGCTGCCGGGAAGAAATAATCATAACGAGAGAAGCTCCGTATAACAATGGTGCGGGTCACGAGGCGAGTGCTTCATTTGCATGGCTCTTGTACACGTAAAATACATACATACATCTATACATATATACTATCATTATCGTCATAATTTCCTCTTTGTCTGGCAGCTATTGCGCGCGTCTATAAATACAGAGGCGCACAAAACACAGAGAACTAACAAGCCAACTTGTCATGCTCGTTTATCCAAATTATTTTTTTTTCTCCCCCGGCTTCGAAGGGACGTAAAAAATGCGCCCACTTTTTCACGGTCTTGCGCTCGTCTATCCCTCCCTCGTTACCTGTTGTGCCGCTGTATAATGCTCACCGGGAAAATGAAGCTCATTGTTTTCCTTCTCGTCCTTTCTGAATGTTTTACATCTCGGAAAGCAAGAAAAGAGAGAAAAAGAGAGGGAGGAAAAGCGATCGAGCCCTTTGTATACAGTCGTAATTGCAATGTTACTGTTTTTCTTTTTTTCTTTTTTTTCTTTGATAATATTTGAAACAATTTATAATTGCCGAGTGAGCTAAAGAGGTAAATGCGGATCTCGTTAATGAGTTCGCAAACTTCGTTAAGGTGATTTGGGGAGAAATTGTTATTTTTGAGTTGTTGGCGTGTTTGTAGAAAAAAAAAGGATCAAACAAAAAGAGGATGTAATATTTTAGGTAACGGATAAAACGAAAAGAGACAAAGAAAGATAAGGCGCACGGTACGGGGTGATAAAAAATGTGCTACAATTCGTTGGTGTTGTTTATCTGATTGCAGGATGCTCGGGAAATCCGGACGCAAAGCGCTTGTACGACGACCTGCTCTCCAACTACAACAAGCTCGTCCGGCCGGTCGTCAACGTGACGGACGCCCTGACAGTTAAAATCAAGCTCAAGCTATCGCAGCTCATCGACGTGGTAAATCACTGCTTCTCCCTTGCCCTCTACCACCCTCTTTTCTCATGCTTATGTATTACCATTTATTTGCACGGAATTAATACATTGAAATACAATTTCGTATTTTTTATAAAAAAAAGTATGATAATGATTAAAATAAATTAAGGATTTTTTTTTTTTTTTTTTTTATTCAAGGTTCCTCGTTACACTGAAGTAGTTCTTTGTGGTTTATTTCATATAAAGTCTTTTTTCAGAATTCGTGCTGAAATAATGATTAATTTAATTTTGCAGAACCTGAAAAATCAGATAATGACGACGAATCTCTGGGTGGAACAGGTAATTGATTTTTGTTTATTTGTCATTACAATTATAGAGCTAGCAGTAATTATTGTATCAAAAAATTTGCACTACGACTTTTTCTGAAAGCACTATATCACATTTGTGTTGAAAATATTTATTTTCATTATTATACTTTTAATGCAGTACTCGACAAAATTTTTTCCAGCAAAAATAGTGCATTACAATTAAAAAAAAAAGTTTAAGGAAAACTGGGTCAAACTATTTTAAAAAATTATTCAAACTCTTTTGTAAGAGCTTTATCATGAACTTAATTAACAATATTTGAGGAAAATATGCAAAAATAGTAAAAATCTGAGAAATAACTGTACCCACTCATTTATATAATAACAGATGAACCTTGCACACGTTTAAAACAATCATTCAATAAAACAAAAAGGACGGGTAATAAAAAAAAGGTGTATAAAAGTTGGAGAAACAGCCACTCACTCGCTCCGGAAGCCACTACACTCTCCATCTCCCCTTATCCCCTATAAAAATGCAAAACTCGGAAAAATAATTCCCATTCATACATAATCTCGCCATTTTCTCACCCGAGAAGAGCCAGCGTCTCCCCGAGCAAACTCGCCCAACGCCTCGCTCGCGGATAAGAAAAATCAAGCGCACAGCCAGCCCCCGCCCCACTCGTTCCTTCTCTCTCTCTCTCTCACTTCCTTCCAACCTGTCCCTATATACAATTCTGCCTTTAAATGCAGTGGCTTCGGCCTACATTTCTCTCACCCACCTACTTACCACTCCACGCGTCTTTTTCTTATCACACCCCGCGAGCGAGCATATTTCCGCTTTCCCGTTGAACGTGTGGTTGGCTGGCTGTCAACGCATCCGCAAGACACGCTCGCTCCGCCGTACGCTCGAATCGTCGCCGCTGAGATATTTCGCGGGAACTTCCTTCTTCCTTTCTCCGTTTCTACCGAGCTTGCGAGCGCGATTTTTATCATTATTTTCCTTTTTACTGGCAATCAAAGTAAAGATGTTTCGTAAGAAAACGCGCTTTCAGGAGTACAAAGTCCATGAGTTTCGGGGATCTTAAAAAATTAGATCAGTCCCTGGTAATTTACGAAGGCCGTGGAGCAAAGAGCTTCTGTGTGCGGTATAAGGAGCTTTCAGTTTTCGAGCCATTGTTAATGCAACAACTGTTGGGTAGGATCTTGTTGATTAAAAATTTCTCGTGTACTCGAGGAGGGGCTTTACAAGTTTTAATGGCAAAATGCTTTGTGAAACTCGGCAACTTGTCGTCTGTTTATTTATTTGTTGATCACGTTCATCCGATTAAAAAGTTTCATAGTCCAGTTGACATTTTCACCGTGATTTTTAGAACAAAATAGATGCTATTTGAACTAGTCTTTAAAAAGCTGGGGTAAACAAAAAGGACTTTGATCGTTTAGCCGAAATTGATCTTATGAAAAACAACTCGCAAAGCAACGAGCACACAAACTTTTGTATCCTTCGGCGTCTCCTCCACGCACGTGTGACTTGTTTTCCAAACTTTACACCCCTCGAGGGACGTGACTGCGAATCAAGCGCTTGGTATTCGTCTCAAAACACTCGTTCGTCGTACCGCGCAAGTCCTTCCGTACGTATAAGTCACGAAAGGGAGGGAAAGGGACATACCCACGCGCCAAGAATTAATGGCACGGCAACGATCGTGCCGATATAAAAGTTTTCGCGATGTTCCAACCGTGACTTTGGACACTTTTTCTTCTCAATCGGGTGATCGCGCAAACCCCACTTTTCAAAAGTCGAAAAGCGCCCTTCCTGCACTATCAATATTAATCCCACTGCATTTCTCATACACTCCCTGATACTTGCGCGCCATACGCGACGTCGATCATTGGGTTTTTTCACTTGGATTGTTTTATTAAAAAACATCCATACGACTAATCAGTCTCGAACAAACACCACAGCTTCAGCCCAGTACGTGACAATCAATCTTACGAGGAAAGGATTACACAGTGGGAGGGGGGGCTAATTTATCACTTGGTACACGCATTAATATGTCCCGGTGCTCCATTCGATTACCGAATGACCAGTTGTAACGATCGTGTAACAGCCAGCCCCATAATGTTCTCGTTCTTCGTAATATGCCCATATCCATCACTCGCCGATTTTTCGAATGCGTACATTGTGAGACATGGACGTAATTTTACGCTTTTACTGCCCAAGTCGTGCCAGACCCTGTGCTCGCGACCGACCAAACGAATATAGCTCTTTTATTACAACGTCATCAGAGCGCAGTGCCGTAACACACGGCCGTTCAAGTTGTTACGTGTTTCGCAACAGCCGTGCACGCGAAGGGTGCGATTGTTATTATGATTTCGGATGCGTATACATATCTCCATATATAGACCTTGCCCATCCTCGTAAAGACTTGTGCGCTTTAGCTGTATTTTATCTCATCCGCTGAATTTACATTCAGGTTGAATATTGTTTTTGTTTGGCTTTGGAATTCACATGTACAACGTTATACGCTTCGAGATTCAAAAAATATGCCTCGACAGCGCTTGTACAATGCACATAGTTTGGGTTAATCGCAAAGTTTCCGCAGCTGCGAGAACAAAGTTGAAACTTGGCGTGTGTTATCATTCGCATGCATCCCCCAAAATAGACGAGGAGAACGAGCTTACAGCCCATCTGGCCGCGCGTATGTATGTACAGCAACGTAAACGCATCCTGTATACTGTTATAGTAAAGCAGAGAGAGAGGGATATATAACATCAGGAAAGTTTAAAATATGCGCGAGAGAACCTTAAAAGCTCGGCTAACGCGCTAAAGCTCGGCGCGTATGCGCGAAAATTCGGGCTCTGTGTTTTCCGACAGACGCGAGCTCGATGCGTGAATAAAATTTTTGAGGAGCGAAAAATCACCGCGCGCTCGTCTCAAAGAGTAACGGACGGGCAAACGGGTGTACGTGACAGCTGAGGGTTTTTGTACCAACGCATGGCTGGATGCATTCGAAAAACAAGGAAACAAAGCCTAGACGCGCGGAGGATGATTTTTTGGACGTTTGATCGCGAGCTGAATAAAATTGTCCGCGTTTCTTCTCGTCGGGTCGCTCGCGCTTTTGTCGTATTTTTGACTGCGTGCATCACGAGCACTCCCAATCGAAAAGCAAAGCGACCCACATTCGCGAGGTTTTTCCACTACACTGCTCTCAACAACCTGTGTCACACGGACAAATATAACTTGTTTGATACCATATGATTTGAATTATTCCACGAGACGGGCAGACCATAGCTGATGCTTCAATGTTGTTTTGGTGTCGATTGCGATTTCATCTCGATCACGTATACCTTTTACCTAATGGTCACGAACAATATTTCAGGAAATTGCTCCAAGTCAGAGCACGCGAACATTTTTCTCGAGCTAATGAATTGTCGTTGACACCTTTAATGGTACAACACGGCGTCCATTCGAGGCCAGCTCGGAAGGCAGTGTACGTTTAGTCTGGTTACAGGTGGATATATACGGGGACGAGGACGTCAGCACCGTTGTTTGGGGCTTTTACACGGCTAATGGGTATTAATTGTCCGGGGGATTTACGGAGGGATCCGGTCTGGTGTGCTTTTGGGCTCGAGATTGTTTACGATTCCAGAAGACTCGCAGTACGTGCCTTCAGGGCGCATATTAAATTTCGCCCTCGTGACGAGCGTTGATCATTCAAAGTCCGTTCAATACTGTACAACTTGTAGTCCTCTCGAGGAGGGCCGTTAACATATTATACGCCGGCGTACCTCTTCAAACCAATCAACCCTCGAACAAGGTTCCGCGTGGCTTTTTAAAAGTTCCACCTTTACGCCTCCCCCCGTCTTTTTTTTATTCCAGCGAGATATCTTTCTCCTGTATCTCGGCACGTGCTCTTTATATCGCTTTACAGTGCACGAGCAACTTTTTCAACCTTTTTTGCACTGTGGAGACTTTAGTGGAAAAAAAAAAAAAAAAAAAGTAAAAAAAAAGTCGCAAGGTCAATTTAGGAGGATATTTTTCAAAGTTTATCAATAACAAAGTATCTTTGAAAAATGTACACGTAGTGAGAATTTGTGCAAAGGTAAAAGGTAACAGTGTAGGGATGATGGAAAGAGAGATTTGCTTGATCCCTTGCTCCGTTTGCGGTTGCAGTCGTGGTACGATTACAAGCTCCAATGGGATCCGAAGGAGTACGGGGGCGTCGAGATGCTGCACGTTCCCTCTGACCACATATGGAGGCCCGACATAGTTTTGTACAACAAGTGAGTATTGGCCATCACCCACCCTCTATAATATACTTGGGCTCCGATTTAATTTGCAAATACATTTGATTATTTTAATGAAATTGTTTCCTTGTTAATTTTTCGCGCGTTAAGCGCCGATGGCAACTTCGAGGTGACCCTGGCAACGAAGGCCACCCTCAACTACACGGGCCGAGTCGAGTGGAAGCCACCAGCGATATACAAGTCTTCCTGCGAGATCGACGTCGAGTACTTTCCCTTCGACGAGCAGACCTGCGTCATGAAATTCGGCTCTTGGACCTACGACGGCTTTCAGGCGAGCCTTTCACCCATTTTTATATCTATACATCTATTTTCGGAAGAGCACGTCCGCGCTGCTTGTCACTCGCCGCGGGAAAAAAAAAACGTTCCAATATCGCTCTGCGGGTGGACCTTTATACGTATGGTACACGTGTATCGCGTGTGCCGGAATGTATGGGCATATTATATACATTATCCATTGCGGAGTAATCGATGGCCGGTCGCTAATTTTCGCGGCTCAAATATTCCAATTGCGGGACATTCCGAGGTCGGGTATTCGATGAGCTGCTCAAGGTCGAGGAGCCAAGGGATTCTGGGAATGTTTTCCGGAATGGGGGTAGGAAAGGGGGATTTTTTTCTTCTTATCTGATCGAGTTTTGGGTTTTTCCATTAGTTGTATCGGTCGTCCTTTTTAATTTGATTTTTTTTTTCTCCCTCAACAAATTGCGTCGTGCGATTTGTGTGTTTGAAAATGAGGGACTCGTCGGGGCGTCGAAAAGTTTCATATTTGGGAAGCGGTAAAAAAAGGAAAAAAAGAGGGTCGAGTGCAACTTGAAAAAGTGGATTATCCGATGCGTCGCTCTAGCCGCTTCATAAAACTCGGTGAAGTGGACCGAATGGTTTCGGAACTCGTTTCCCTCGCATTGGTTTTTGTGGTTGTGGTGGCAATCGACGCTCCTTTCGGAAGTACGAACATCTCTCTTTGAACAATAAAAAAAAAAATAAAAAAAAAAAAAAAATACAGCATATATTCGATTTACGCATCGATGCTTCCCGAGACCAAAGGTAATTAGAGCCGCGATCCACGTTTCCAAAATGCAAAGGCAGGCCTCGTTGGTCTGAGATTAGCGATGCTCGAGCTTAACAGGGCGATTGAGCCTCCCCGAGGGCAGTCGGAACGTGAGTTGGCGAGGGAAAGAGAATTTTTGACACAGCAAAGTCGGTGGACTGTGTGGAAGCTCGTAATTGCGGATTATACGTGTCAAGGCAGAACCGGTCCCCCAAAGGGATATCAGCGGAGTACGTGCAGTTCGGGGTGACCGAAAAAAAATACATGTAAATTTTCTCACACGAGAAACCCGGGCAAAATGGTGCTAAAACTTTTTTTTTCTCTCTCTCTCTCTCTCTCTTTATAAAACTCGTTTCGAGACGAGTTTTGACGGTCGATGGTACGAATGGTCAATCTAAAAGTTTGCACTGGTCCACAGGTCGATCTGAGGCACATAGACGAGGTGCAGGGCAGCAACGTGATCGACATCGGCGTTGATCTCTCCGAGTTTTATACGTCCGTCGAGTGGGACATACTCGAGGTCCCGGCTGTCAGGTGAGATAATTCATTCCAGCCCCCCTATAGGAGCGTTCCACTTTTTATAAAAACATTTTTTTCTTCCGCCCTCGTATTTCAAAGAGCACGTCCGCGAAAACGATTTTCATTCCGCACGCGCCCGCAGCGCCATCGGGGCCCCTTTTGAAAGTAGCAATCTTTCATTTTTACTCGCTCGCGTTTAACCAAAGTGTCATCCTTTTTTTTTATTTTTACCCTCAAACGATGAACTTTTTATACATGGCTTTTTTCAGTGTCTTTCCGATACACGAATAATAAACTGTCGAAAAAAGTAAAGTGCTCTTATTCAAAACCCAAGCCACGCGAGTCGGAAACGGAATGCGCCACTCGTATCCTCGCTGATTGTTAAAAAGCCACTTCTTCCCTTTTTTTTTTTTTTCGCAGTGTACGTATGTATGTATTTTTCGTTTTGTTTTCTTTGTTGCAGGAACGAAAAGTTTTATACTTGCTGCGACGAGCCGTACCTCGACATCACTTTCAACATCACCATGAGACGCAAGACCCTCTTCTACACGGTCAATCTCATCATACCCTGCATGGGCATATCCTTTCTCACCATACTCGTCTTCTATTTGCCCAGCGACAGCGGCGAAAAGGTCAGTTTTTTCCCTCTCTTTTTATACTTTCGTATTCCATTTGCTAATTTATTTCATTCGCAATGAAGAGTTCGCATAAAATTTTTTTTTTTTCGTTCCCATCTATGTTGGATGCTGTTTCTTTGTTTTTGATCTCCATGTTTTCCAATTGTTTTTTTTTTTTTTTTTTTTTCGTCCGTAGGTACTGGCAAAAGCACTATCGCCGCACTCGACTCGTGATTTTATTTCGTACTGGAAAAATGCATTTGCGGATTACTTAAGCAGTTTTGCTCGTAGCTTTTATTTTCTGGGAAAAAGCCCTCCGTAGACTCACTTTATGGGAATACTTGACCAGAATTGCAATTAACTTTCACGTTGGTTTTTTTAACTAGGTACTCGGGATTTCACATTAATTTCAGAGCTGATTATTTTCAAAGACGAGTCGCGTTGACACACAATTTCATAGGTACGCCGATTCATCGAGTGTCGAAATAAAAGAAAATCTTCCCTTGTTCGCAACAAACACAAACATTCCCAAGAATCTCGGCTTGTTACCTGCCTCTGCAGTTACTTGCACCAAATCCAATATCACGCGTCCAACTCCACTCGATAAAAAGCTCGAGTCCCCACTATACGCTCTCTCTCTCTCATCGTCCATCTCAACCTGCTCTTTTTCCATTTTTTTTTTTTTTTTTTTTTTTTCACATACTACTTGAACTATCTCCAGCCGTTTTGCATACCCCGACTCTTCACGCGCAGATAGCTGTACTCCCGTTTCTCCAGGACCTGCTCCTCTTGACCTCTTCCTTCTACTCCGCCACTACTTCTCGATATTTTATGGAGCAAAAAAAAAGTGGGGGGGGGGGGGCTAGCCGAGTTTCACTCGCATGCATACAGCGGATGGTGGAAGGAGATAGAACAGAAGAAAGAGAGATAAGGAGAGCAGTGTCGAGGAGGTGAACCAGTCGGACAGATAAAGACACATTGGTACAGAGGAGACGCGCCGCGTCGCGAGGAGAGAGGAAGTGTCGACGGAGGGAGAGAGACCAATGTAGTGTCTCCGGTGATAAACGGCCGTGGAGATAACGCGAGATCTGACTGTGTATATACGCGTGTGTGTGCGTGTGTATAGGTGTGAAGAAGAGAGAGGGTTGAGATTTAGGTGGTGCAGCTTTCGAGAATATTTCCTTGAAATTTTGTGCATGTGTTGAATACGATTGTGTATATAGAACAACGTTCCCTCTCTCTCTAATGTACGAGTGCAAGTTGGCTGTGCCGGGCTCCTTTCTCCTTGCCTACTTTGTACTTTTTTTTTTTTTCATCATTCCTCCTTCTTTCCTCTTTGTCTCGAAATTTCGCGAGGGCAATGGCGAGATGATTGGTGAAGTTTCTTGTTCCGCGAAATTAAGAGCCAGCTTTGGGCATTAACGGCACCGCCTGTCTTCCCCCTCGGTTGTTTTTATTTATGCCCCCACGCCCCTTTTTTCCCCCTCGAGGTATATATAAGTACAGATTTGCGAGACGTTTGGCTGTTGTGTTTGTGTTTATAATGTATTAGGCAAATGCCTTCGAGGGAACGCAAAAAACAATGAGAGCCGTACTGTGCCGTGTTTGGAATCGAGCGAGCACTGGTATAATATGCAGTTGCGTGGTACGGTAACATTTTTCCCTTGGCCTTAACGAGCCCTTAACACTACATTAACCCCGCAGATTATGTTTATTCTTTTGTTACACCATCACTTTGTCCGATATTTTATTAATTTCAAGTGCCAAGACATATACAGATGGTGCATAATTCAAGAGAAATATGGATCATCCCTCCCCAAAAAAAAGCCCTTAAAAATTTTGGCTCATCATGGGAATCCAGTTTCCATTACCCATCGTAATTTCAAGCACTTTGGTACTTGCGTAGAAAATCACCTCGTAAACATGTTTCTGCTGTACCATTAGCAAACCGGCCAAGACTCGAGACAAATAAAACCTCGAGCACTGGATGGATAATTTCGTATCCATTTACCAGTAGGAAAAAAAAGGGGAGGGAAAAAAAAAACAGGCGTAAAAAACCCTCGATTTACGAGGGAAGGAAAAACTCGAGGTTTACGTGATATTTTCAGGTGCTGGAAAGAAAAGACAGCGGAGATGCAGCGGCTAGAAGATCGAAGTACATCGCTCTCTTTGCTTCTATTTGTGTATTTTCCCGCTTTTCTACGAAGACTTACGAGCGCGGGAACGAAGAGTGAAATGGGGATGTAATTGATATAGGGGCTCCTCTCTTGGTTTTCGCGCATCAAAGACAATACCAACCGCTAGAGCATCGGGGTAGGGCAATGCACAAACACGTGTACTTTTTTTCTCTCGGTTTCGTGCCAATTCCTCTAGAGCACTTGCAAAGCAAATACATATAGATTCGAGTTTTTCGAGGTATGAAGTATAAATTAGGCTGGGAGCATTTGTCCGTTCGGTTTGCTTGGAAAGTCCACGGAAACACGAAGAAAGTAGTATATCTTATTTTTAGGATCACCACAAAATCACGCGGAAAAAGAAAACATGCGAGAGAAGAGACAATGCGAATCGCTGGGTGGCGAGGAAAGCAAGGCGACAGATACACGCGATCCCTCATCTGCTTGGAAATATATATATATATATGTGTGTGTGTGTGTGTGTGTGGAGAAGTATATAATACGAGATTGATCGATCCCACGTTGATGCTCACGAGGCGCATCTGGGAGGCGATTCTCCATCCTTTCCCTCTTTTTTGTTTCGCACGCGTCAACACTCGCTTTATTTTTTTTTTTTTTTTTTTTTTTTCATTTTGTTTCCTTCCACTTGCGCACTGCGTGTATGCGAGAAAAAATGCAGCCCATCGGGAGAGAGTGGTGCAGTATTCATCGTGCGGGGGAAAAAACATCGGGGGTGAATATAAAAGCGCGAGGGCTGGATGTATAGGTGATATGTTTATTTTGCGAGGAGGTGAGTTTTTGCATGCTCGTCAATTAAACGGGGTTCTCTGTCTTTGGGGATCGGAAAATCGAGACGCGACTGCAATATTTCGTATTCGTTGACGTTTGGCAAATATATGTGTAAGAATCTAGGTTTTTATATGATGTAGGTGAGAAATGGGTCAATTTATCCACACCCTTTTAATGTTACAATTTTTTTTATTATTTTTATATTTAAACACCGAGTTTTAATGTAACCATATTTTTTTAGCTATCAATTAGAATATTTGTTTAAAGTTTTGAAAGTTGTGAAAATTTTATGCACAGCAAAACGAAATATTTAAAAAAGAATAGTTTCATCCCCTTTACAATGATTTGGTCCTAATTTGCTATATGTACGAGTTGCTGGAAAATGTCTTTGCTTCTGTGTCGTGATGATAGATTGTACCTACTTTTCTTGGACGCAAACTGGAGTGAACGTATTTTTCGTGAAATTTGGATGCATATTTTTTCATGGTTCATCGTACCTCGTCAGAAGGGGTCCTCCCAGCGTTGTTTGAAATTATATTTTTCCAACGCACAGGTGAAATCCAATTAAAGTTCATCAGATTACACATCGTCGACAACTCGACAATTAAATATAAATTTTATTGCGAAAAAAATACACGCACCTACAAAAGCTCTTTGGTGCAGCTTTGTCGTGCCATTTGTTTGTTCATTTCGTTATTTCACCCACACGTTAGCAATGCATGTACCGTTCAGAGGCGGCGCTTGGGATTCCAAGAGCTTAATTAGCTGGAAAATTTTTTTTTTTGTTTTATATACAAATTCCTCGCGTGTGTGTATACGTACTTGGACTCTCTTTTTTCCTTCCCTCATTTGCTTTTCCTCTGCACCTCCTAAGCGGTTTAGCACACATTTTTTTTCCCTGGTTCGTACACAGCTCGTTCGGTTTGGTATAGAAAGGAAAAAAAGCGAGACTCTCTTTCTCTTGCGGGGCACGAATTTTCGCTCGTTGCCTCGCTCCTCGAGTTTTCGAGTTCATTAATGGAGTTTCGCGCTTGATGTGTTGTTATGACTTTTTTTTTTTTCCTTGGGAGAAAAAAAAAAAACCAAAAATACGACAATTAAGTAAACACTATTTACTCTCTAAGGTTTCATCAGTCAAGTTTTACTGCGAATCAGTAAAATGTCGTTTACTTATCACAATAAGTAAACGACTTTTCACTTATAATTAGTCAATATTGACTAATTCGACTCATCTAACTTTAGAAGGTATGGTAGTTGGTACTTTTTTTTTTCTGCGCACAGGTGAGTCTGTCAATTTCGATCCTCCTGTCGCTGACTGTGTTCTTCCTCTTGCTGGCTGAGATCATTCCGCCGACTTCCCTCGTGGTGCCGCTTCTCGGGAAATTCGTCCTCTTCACTATGATACTCGACACGCTAAGGTAACGACAATGACATTCAATTTCGTGTAAATTTTTAATGATTATTAATATCAAATAACGGTTTTTTTGTCTTTCTTCAGTATTTGCGTGACAGTTGCGGTACTGAATGTGCACTTCCGCTCGCCTCAGACGCACGTGATGAAGCCTTGGGTGCGCCGAGTATTCATTCACGTTTTGCCCAGATTATTGGTAATGCGCAGGTTAGTACCCCCCATGGATTATCTTGAATTATTTTTTTTTTTTTTATATATATACATACTTTTTGCTGATAGCTTAGATCCTTTGAACTATAATGATTTATTCTTTTTCATATGTAACGTACAAGCCGATAAATTGAAAGAAATGTGTACTTTGCAAAAACAGAATTTACAGCTTAATTTTTAATATCGTAAATCATCATTTGGATTCCAATTTGAAAAATTCAATCATAAATGATTAAAAGACCTGTGAAATACTTGCTCTTTGATGTCTAATTATGTAGCAGGCAATTTGTCGGAAGATTTTCTTTTGGCTCCAGTCTTTCTTATTATACAAAAAACAAGTCTGTTTGTCAACCTATCCATTACAAAAAAAAAAAAAAAAAAAAAAAGCAACGCGGCACACGTACATAGACACAAAGTCCTGTAAACGAGAAAAAAAAACAAACAGGTCTAGTTTCATTCCCAGGCCGCAGTACCAGATCGACAAGCGCAGCCTCCAGATGCACGGGCTCGAGCACCCGACAACTCTGCGCCACCGCCGCCACCACCACCAGCCACCCTCCTCGTCCCACCACCACCAGCATCACGATCCCCTGCATCACCACCACCACCACCACCACGAGCAGCAGCAACATCACCCGCACCGATCGCCATCGGCGTCCTCGTCCCAGCGCGTCGTCGTGCGCACCTGCAACGGCCTGGAGCTGCGCCACGACCCCTACGCCGAGGCCTCGGCCTCGGAACTGCTCGAGTCCTCGATCTTGTTTCCCAGCCTCGATTCGCGGGACAACATCAGGTCCAATTATTACTCAACGCCCACTCATTGTGTTTATATATTCACCTAGTTGACGTTTATTTAACAACAAATCAGTGAAATGCCGACGATAAATTTCTTTTTTTTTTTGGCCTTTTTTTTATGAAACAGATTCATAAAATCCATATTGTGCCTCTGCCGATTGAATAAAAATAAATCGGCACCTAACACCCATTTTTGTCTCAAAGTTCTCGGATCTGTGATTATCAAGCCAAGCGTTTTGGCTTAAGATCTCAAGATTTTTATTTTCATACTCGCGCAACATATTTCATAAGACGATGTAAGAAAAGAAAAAAAGCAACATCCCCTTTCACACTCAACAGGGAGCTGGAAGCGATAAACCTCGGCAGTCAGTGCAGGCTTCATGGTTCACCCGGTGCTGCTGCAGCGGCGGCCTCGACGACGACTCATCACCCCTTGCCAACCGAAGACAGCGTCGAGGAGCTCTGCCGTAGTCTGAATCACTGGCACCACTGCCCCGAGCTGTATCGGGCCGTCGAGAGCGTGCGCTACATCGCCGATCACACGAAGCGCGAAGAGGACTCGACAAAAGTGAGTTATCCTTCGAAATTCGAGGAGAAACTTTTCCTTTTTTTTAATTCCTTGTAATTAGTCAAAGTCATTTCGAAATCACTCATAACTATGAAAAAAGTCTAGAGTAGCACAAATGATAAAAAAAAATAAATAAATAAAAAAACAGGTAAAGGAGGACTGGAAGTTCGTGGCGATGGTGCTCGACCGTCTGTTCCTGTGGATATTCACGCTGGCAGTGGTGGTTGGGACCGCGGGTATTATTTTGCAGGCGCCAACCCTCTACGACGACAGGCTGCCCATCGATGTCCGCCTTTCCGAGATAGCTTCGACAACGTCCAAACCAGGTTTTTTCATAATGCAATAAATCTCAGTTACACCCATTTAGTATTTAACGATATATTTTGCCAATTTCGCCAATTTTTCAATTGATACAAACACACTTGACAGTGCGTGATAATATTTTTTATTAATTTTAATAAATTCGAAAAAAGTAAGCAGTTAATTTTCTGTTGTTGACAAATGCAAGAAAACAATATCGTTCGTAACACAATATTTCCACGCACTAAAAGTCAGACAGACTTACGTAACAGTATATAATATATGCGTATAGCTTTGTTGCGCCATATGCCACACCGATAAACCAAAACTATTTTTTTCACTGATGCAGTGATCACGACCCTTTGAGACGGCCATAGCTATCACGATTGCCACTCACACCACCACGACTACTGCTACTCACTACTACCACTACTACTAATGGCACCTTCGTCTTCTTCGCTTGTCGTCGGCGCTACGGCTGCTACGGTACCTGCCGCTATATAAAAGCGCGAGGGCTGGATGTATAGGTGATATGTTTATTTTGCGAGGAGGTGAGTTTTTGCATGCTCGTCAATTAAACGGGGTTCTCTGTCTTTGGGGATCGGAAAATCGAGACGCGACTGCAATATTTCGTATTCGTTGACGTTTGGCAAATATATGTGTAAGAATCTAGGTTTTTATATGATGTAGGTGAGAAATGGGTCAATTTATCCACACCCTTTTAATGTTACAATTTTTTTTATTATTTTTATATTTAAACACCGAGTTTTAATGTAACCATATTTTTTTAGCTATCAATTAGAATATTTGTTTAAAGTTTTGAAAGTTGTGAAAATTTTATGCACAGCAAAACGAAATATTTAAAAAAGAATAGTTTCATCCCCTTTACAATGATTTGGTCCTAATTTGCTATATGTACGAGTTGCTGGAAAATGTCTTTGCTTCTGTGTCGTGATGATAGATTGTACCTACTTTTCTTGGACGCAAACTGGAGTGAACGTATTTTTCGTGAAATTTGGATGCATATTTTTTCATGGTTCATCGTACCTCGTCAGAAGGGGTCCTCCCAGCGTTGTTTGAAATTATATTTTTCCAACGCACAGGTGAAATCCAATTAAAGTTCATCAGATTACACATCGTCGACAACTCGACAATTAAATATAAATTTTATTGCGAAAAAAATACACGCACCTACAAAAGCTCTTTGGTGCAGCTTTGTCGTGCCATTTGTTTGTTCATTTCGTTATTTCACCCACACGTTAGCAATGCATGTACCGTTCAGAGGCGGCGCTTGGGATTCCAAGAGCTTAATTAGCTGGAAAATTTTTTTTTTTGTTTTATATACAAATTCCTCGCGTGTGTGTATACGTACTTGGACTCTCTTTTTTCCTTCCCTCATTTGCTTTTCCTCTGCACCTCCTAAGCGGTTTAGCACACATTTTTTTTCCCTGGTTCGTACACAGCTCGTTCGGTTTGGTATAGAAAGGAAAAAAAGCGAGACTCTCTTTCTCTTGCGGGGCACGAATTTTCGCTCGTTGCCTCGCTCCTCGAGTTTTCGAGTTCATTAATGGAGTTTCGCGCTTGATGTGTTGTTATGACTTTTTTTTTTTTCCTGGGAGAAAAAAAAAAAACCAA